CCCTGAGGTGTCACAGTAGGGCCTCAAAAGAGATTTGCAGATATGTATCCTATCCAACTCCTCACTTCTCTCTGTTGGAAATTGGGAATAAAGAGATCTCAGTTACCTTAATAATGGGCTGATAGCAATGGACCACACTCGATCCTCTGTCTGCACTGTGTGTAGACACTGCCCAACTCTGCCCGCGGACAGGGACCAAACCTAGAGAGAGAGATGCATGTTATGCCAGATCACCCAGAAGGTGCAGAAGGTAGCATGCACACAGCTAATGAGCTGCCACAACTGCCATGCTCCCCTTCCCTGAGATCTTCTGACCAAATTTCCCCTACTTATTTTTAAGAAGCAGAACCTTCAATCAGAGTCAGAAACAAGCACTTAAAGTTGCACAAAGACTCAGCTTATGACTAGGATCTTCCATCCCACTTGATCATAGGGAAAAGAGAAAGCACCCTGATATACTACGTCTCTGAGGCAGCACTTGGCACAGAGATTTCTCATCTTCTGTAGTTAAAGGAACAAGCAGCGGGATTTATTCAAACCTCTGCTGTTCTCAAAGAGGTCTGGAAGGCTTTGCACCGTCCCTGGAAATATTTTCATTCATATTACCTATCAAATTAATTGTTCACTGTCCTGTAAAAGAGCTTTGCGTAAGGCCATCCCCTTTGGACCAGGTTTCTTAAGAACACCCCAGGCTATTTTCAGAGGCCCCTTTTGCCCACTGACAGTGTGAGAAAAAATCCTTCCCTCCCCCATCAGTGCACACATCCCCTTCCACTAGTTCACCCTCCCCATCACCTTTGACTCTGGGTCCTCACAAAGCCCCCAGCTTCTCCCTGGGGCCTCTGCTTGTGGCCCTCACTTATCCAGCACTGCCTCCATTCTTGGCTTATAGGGCCTGAGCACCCCAGTCCTCTGTAACCGACCCGCAGTGTTTCACTTCAAGACTTCAAAGCCGGGAGTGCCCTATTTGTTTGTTTGTTGATAATGCCCAGGATTGCAGGCTATTCTTGTCAGCGGGGAATTTAGCACCTAGTGTCAGCAAAAGCAGCAGAAAAGCTTAACTCTTTTAAGGCATCCCTATCTCCTACAGGTTAAAAATATTGCTCAGAGCACACTATCTGGTGCCTATCACACAGGAATGTACATTAGCAGCTCTTCAGGGCTTAGCCCTAATCAACACTCAGCAGAGCCCTCAATAGCTTAGACACTTAGAGCCCCTTTAAAAGGCTGGTAGGGATTCCCTTCCACCCTCCAAGAGTCTCACTCATGCAAACAAGACAACCCACAAAAGAGATGATAAAAAATAAAAGGTGAACATCCCTAGAGCCTGTGCTGTAGGGAGCGCTGGGTGGGCAAGATCTCACAGTAGTTCCAAGAAAAACAGCATTAATTCCTTTCTGGCCTTCAGGAATTTGTTCTCAAGGTCAGGGGAGCTCTGTCTTCCTGCTGCCAGCGAAGCAGCAAGAAGGCATGCTCCCAAAAAAGAGGCTCTGCAGAACAGAGAGGAACAGCCCTGCTTAAATGCCAGCCAAAGCAGCACCCCGACCTTGCTCACAGGAGGCAAGCAGCATCCCAAACAGCGCTCTTGCCATCTGAACGCTGCTCTGCTTGGGAGCGATCTCACCCAGGAGCACAGGGAGACCAACTAGAACAGATAGGTTAATGCTGCTCAGCAACCTGTCAGGTAGTTACCCATTAACACACACTTCCTATAAAACCTTGAAAGCGATATTTAGGTCTCTTTGTCCCAGCTTCCCTTCTTAAACAAGAATAATAGTTTTCCCTCTTATCTCCACTAATGCTCTGCAACACGTACCAGGACATGAAGGGTATACCAGGATCCTATCCTGAGCAACAGCCAAACCTTTCAACACAGAGCATTTACCAAAAATGAAACTGGTGGTTATAAAGATGCTACGGCCACTGCATCATGCTACCAGGATGAGGGTGAAACAACTTCATGGAGTTTCCTAAACTGCTGAAACAGAGCTGGGTACCAGCTCAGGAGAGCAGCTCTCCAGGTCTATGCAGGAACCTGGCACTGTCAACCAGATCAAAGGACAAAAATCAACAAGGCTCTGCCTCAAAAAGAAACAGCCAAAAAACATGGTTCAGTGATGCCAATTAGAGGAGAGGAGAAAAAAAAAAAAAAATCACACAGAAGCTGGTGGTTTCCATAGCCTAACTTCACTCCTGGAAACAAGGACATGCTTGAGATACATAGGGCAAATTTCAAACTAACTGGCTTGGATCTCCACACTGTTGTGTTAGACAAATGCACAGTGAAAGAATCTAAGCATTCTATGCTTCAGCTTAAATCAGCAGCTGATATCCAAAAGTACTGCCAAACCTCTTTCTTAAAAGCCTGGCACAGCAAATATCTTTTCAGAGACATGAGCCAAGATACCCAGTGCTCCTCCTGCAGACATACAAGTCAGGGCTCACAACAGTTCTGCTGACACTTAAACATTCATGGCACGAGACCTCTGTGGTTACTTCTGTGGCAGCACCTGCAGCAGCTGGATCATCACTGCTCACCTTTGCTGTTCTGTCCCGAGAGCCGCTCACAATGAGGCCGCCTTGAAAGTCCACACAGTTCACCTCTTGTTCATGCGCAGAAAACTTGACACTGTAGGAGCCACGGATCTTGTGAAGGACAATATTCCCATCCCTGAAAAACAAATCTGGAGGTGGGAAGCCCATTTCAGCTGCAGACCCTTTGGCTGGCCAAGCACCTTCCATTCATGTTTGGGAGTGCCACTAAAAGGCCATGACTGACCTCTCAGGGGAGCTGAAGTTCAAGCAGCATTATTAACCCTCCACTGCCCACACATCACCTGTTCTCCTAAGATCCCACTTCTGGCCATTCAAAGACTGATTTGCTGCACACAACAGCTTTTGCTGGGCATCTTTCCACCTGGGAAAGACGAGTTTAGGTTAAGCCATGCAATTCAACAGAGCAGCCGTTCCTCCTCCTATTGCTTTGAGCTTGCCAGAATCCTGGCTGGATGCTGAAGAGCGGGAGTAAGGGGATAAGCAAGCAGGTAACTCTCTACCATGTCTGAGTCTCAGCTTTTCATTCATTCCAGAGCAGCTGCATCGAGGATTGTGTTTTGAAGTAACTACAAAGACACTTAGACTTTTTCAACCAATAAATTTTCTAGAATTTTAAATGCATGCCTTCATTGCCACCTGGATTTCAGTTGTGGGTTTGAGGGTGGTGGGCGGTGGTGGGGTGGTGGTTGTTTTAAAAAACAGGAGGGAGTCAAGACATCCAGTGCAGACAGCCACGCTTCTCCCAATTTTGTGCTGAAGTGCTGTATACATGAATAGCTAAGACTTTATAAACAGTTCTGTCTTTTCCTTTAATTTAAAAAGGCCAGTCAAATGCAAAATTAATTGGAGAAGTGTTTGCATGCTAGAAAGCCTGGGAGTTTTCCACCTTTCCACAATTATATCAGTAGGTCTAAAAGATATACTTGTCTCTAGAAAGCTTTATGCACAACTGCAGTCCCAGTAACTAGCAGTTCTGAATATTAGAATGCAGTCTAGCTACCCTGACTATAACAGGGAAAGAAACGAACCGTGCAGATCAGTCAGGATTACGTGGCACCTATCTACACAATTTCAGAAGAGAAAAGGGCAGTCTCATGCTGTTAACAGCATGAGACAACTCCTCCATTGCTTTAGAGGAGTTTTTTTCAGGACAGAACCAAATCATGCACAAGGATGCTCTATGGCAGGATTAACCTGTCTGCTCGGGGCTGGAGTTATGCAAAACCTTTCCAACTTCACCACCACGCTCCCTGGGCTCTCTCACACACCAAACTTACCCCCCTCCACTGACGACATGGGAGTTGACAAGAACAAAGCGACATACGTCCTCCTGGTGGCCAGAGAAGATAGCTTGAGGATGGCGCTGCAAACCTGTACTGTCTGGACAGAGCCGGTAGGCCTCGATGTTCTCAGCTTGAGACAGGTACAGGTACTCACCATCCAGCTCCATCCAGGGCATCAAGCTACAGACAGACAGCAGGTTAAGCGGAGAAGAGAAAAATAAAAAACAAAACAAATTAAGAGAGAGATCACACACATACCAACAAAAGCAAAATTTCACTCAAAAAAAAGACAGTGGAGTTGGAGCTGCTGGTCTCATGCAGAAGCAGCACTAAATATAATGGCATGGCTAAGAAATTAAGTTTCTCTAGCAACATCCAGAACAGATCACATTGCTGGCATTTTTCTAACCAAGAGTTGAAGAAAAAGACAAGCATGGAATCTCTGAAAGAGAAGATGGCCACGAGTCTAGTGTGTTTAGATAGGAAATACTTAAGGCTCCCTGACCCCTCTTGGTGAGCTCTGCACTTTTTAAGAAACTAGACTATCAGGCATTCGTGAGCTATGCCGAGGATTTCTAACAGCCTTCAACATGAGGCTCTTTGTATGAACACACACAGTCCTGATCCTGCACGTTATTTGCTGATGTCCTGCAGAGAACACAAAGCTGCTGCTGTTTCACACACGTCTGAGCAGAGGAGCAGGTCACATCACACACAGATTTTCCTACAGACAGGAAGAAATCCTGCATACTCTGTACCCTCACATATAAGGCAGCAGGGTGAGAAGCAGGAGCTGGAGAGTATTCAAGAACTTTGTGCTCCTCATGTAGAGGAGGTGTTTTTCTACAGTCATACCTCTTTCACTTCTGAACCAAAAGCAGCAGCAGAGCAACATCTCTTGCTCTCTGTTGCCCACCTTTCAGAAGGGACCATGCATCCTTCTGTCCCTTACTATCAGTGGGACAGGGGGCAATTTCCCTACAGAAAAGGGCCAGGCACAAAAGCCATGGCCTTCTTAAAGAGCTATTCCAAGGCACTTTGAAGATGGAAATTACAAGTGGAAAAAATGCTTAAAAACACACACAGCAACAAACTTCCTGGGAAACAGAGAAAAAAAGAGAAGAGGAGACACTCAAGCAATATCTGAATTAAGTGCCTCATTGCAACAAGTTAGTTTATTCTCGAAATAAAACCAAAATACAGAATAGGCTACAGCGGGCACTTAAGCTGTGAGCTCTTTGCTCAAGATCTTGCCTTTGCGTAGGCACCAGAGAATCAACAACTAGACCTTCTGGATATGGCAAGGCAAGCTACAAAGAGACACTGGCCTCATGTCTATGGGGCACGGATGCATGAAATTGTCTCCACACTGCACACTTGTTGACGAGTGCACCAATACCCATGCAAACACTGACCAAAACCAGAGCCTTTCCATAGAACAACCTTTCAGCTTTTGGGGTGTTAAGGAACAAGCTGCTTCGAAAGCAGGGGTTTCTCATAAAATCCTGTGTCTCTCTTTTTTGCAGCTCATTCATCCTCAGAGGTCAGGATTTTCTGTGTCAATAGAGCTGTTACATACAGCCACCCCACATACCGTCACAATAAGAAACTACGAGCAAGCAAGAGGACAAGGTAGTTTATTAGACATAAGATGTCTGCTTGCTTGCATCTATCTCTAGTAACAGGCTTTTAGTCACAGGGACAAAACAGTTGAGCGTAGGTTATAGTGTTCATCTGGGATTTGGTCATATGCATGGAAAAATAACAGGCACCTTTGCAGCAGCAGCTTTGGTCTAAGGCAGGCTTTGATTTCCTCTTCCTTCCTCCACTCCCACGCAGCCCTCTAAAAGCAAGTGAATATCCAGCTTCTTTAGACTATAGCCAGTTTCTATGGTTCTCCTCCTGTTGCAGTTTAGCTTTTACCTTTTTTCCATAGCTTTTTCATAAGGAGAAGCAACAAATTTGAAAGCAGGATAAATGAAAGTTAGGGCATGCAGTTTGGATGGTGGCCTCATTAAATCAGTCCTTGTATTTTCACTTGGGAAGCTGGTTTAGTAACGATCTCAACATCCACAGAGCCCTTCTTCACAGATGGTCTCAAGCACTTCACAGGCAGGTATATCACCTGCACCATGAACCACTTTGTTCACTACGGCTGTCCCCAGGGCTTTAGACACACAGTGGCACCATTACCCAGCACCTCAATCTACATAGCACCAAAAGGCACGTAAGCTCGGTAGTAGGTCTCTGTTCTTCAGCAACTAACAGACCACAGTCCCTCTCATTTTTCCCTTCTGCCTGATCATGCAAAGGCTGAAACCTTAGACGTACTTCTCAGACAAGAGACCCATCTCACTCCTTGCTTTGAAGAGTAGTACACCTTTGCAAGCAAGATTTTGACAGTGACAATCTCCTGTAATTAGTGTCAAATATACATTTTGTTAGTAGAGCAGGGAAGCATAAGGTAGAATGGCAATAAATGTTTAAGCTTTGTATGTCCAAATCTAGGGTCAGGACAAAGCACATGAGAACACAAGCACTTTGAGGATACACAAAGAACAGAAGTCCACATATGGGGCCAAGGCCTGCTCATTGTGAGAGGAGGACAGAAAATTGGTGGTATACAGCAATAGGTAGGCAAGCTAGCTTTTAAGACACATAGCAGTTTGGAGTCTGAAGTAAAGATTACTAAATCCAACTAGAATTGCACAGGTCAGAACAATGCCAAACTTCAGCTCCTATTGGAGAGAAGGACTCCTGGCTCTCAGAGTGAATACCTAGGGCAAGACAGCACCTCCAGTTATCCAACATCCAGCCAGCCAGCAACATCCGAAACAGGAAAGTGACATCACTTGTAAAACCCCACGAATCAAAGGGAGCATGAAATGTCTCATTTCAGGGCACAGATGCAAACCCAAGGCCCCTCAGCAGCTGACACAGAACAAAGTAGAAGAGAAAGGAGCCACTTGCTTGCGTTTCCATTTCAGAAGCGTCTCCCTCCGGCAGCGTCCATGTCTCCAGTTCCGAGAGACTTTCACCCTTTCTTTCACTGGAACACCAGCTGCTCTGCAAAGAAAGAGAGATGACATGAGCAACCAGGACTGATGTCATACGGAGAATAAACACAAACAAGCTGGCTACAGGTATGTTCTCACTCTGGTTCCACAAATGATGAACTGGCAAACGCTGATGGGGCCTGAGCCACACTTGAGCAAGGGCACTTGTGAGTACTGATGAGGCAGGAACACTGAGCAGACTGGGTGTTCATCAACAAAGCAAGCCATCCCCACTACCAAAATGACCAAAGAAACAGAGCATGACTCTTCTAACAGAGACTAAAGAAAGCCAACACCACACAAGAATAGGCGGAGGAAAAACTAGTCAGGAGTACACTGAAACTGGAAGTCAGAAGAGAGCATCTAGCCAGCACTAGCGAAGAAACCTCTCCAAACCCTCACCTGCCTGACAATCACATAACTAGATACAGTAACTAGAAATCAAGACACATTCAGACTAAAAATAAAATGCATTCATCTGTACAGCCCTCCAAGACAAACACACAAGTAAAACTGACCATCCTTTGCCACAGCTCAAAGGACAGAGAATCCCACTGCACTGCTGGAAATCTGTCTACTTACAGTCAAAGTTACTAAAAGATTGACTGCAGTTCATACCCAGCTGCTCAGATATAAAACAAAGTCATCTGGAAAATCACTGGTTTAGCACACAAGGATACCTCTTACCTCCTCAAGTAAACCAGTAATGATGCAAAGTAACAATGCAGGATTCGCCAAATGACCTACGAGCTGGGACAAGACAAGATCAACACAGCTCAAAAGGTGACCAAAGGTAGGTACCACACCTGCAGCCCAGGTCTCCTTAGTGTCTAAATGACTACTTTATTAAGTCACCCAGTTCAAGCATCTGTTTACCATCTATTTTGTTTTCATGATCCAGGGCTGATTGGGGGGGCGGGGTGGGAGAGGCAACTTCAATTTCTCTTTTCCTCATATTGTAAGCTTAAGTATTCAATATCTTAGTGGAGCCACTGGTAGAAAGCATCAGAGAAGTACGAACACAAGAAGCTTTCCAACTCATCCTTTGTAACTGGGGGTCGTGACATTTCTCAATGGCAAACAGTTCCCAGTCACATAGGATGAAAGGAAGATCAGGGACTGGTGCCCACACCAGGACCAGTTCCCTCCTCCCACTCCCATAGTGCCCCCAATCCACTTCCCAAAAGTGACATTTTCGGGTGCTCTATCATTTTTAAAACAAAGATTAGCTCCCTGTAAATAAACATCTCCTGTGGCTGTTAATGCGTGTAGGAATCTCTAACCTGGCCCTGGGGCCTGGCCAGATTCTCATTTTCCCAGCCTTTCCTCCGTAGCCTCAGGCTCCTTTTTCTCTGCTCACCCTTCCCTCCCCTTTTCTATACTTTCCGGCACTTAGTCACCATTATAATTTGACTGCATTCCTGGGCATGTGACCCATTTTAAAGAAAAACAGAATCCACACACAGAAACGCTTTTCGTCCCCTAGAAACCTTTGCAACTCTAAGTTTATGATCAGTAGAGCCACACCAGATGAAGAGCTCAGAGATTCCAAAATTCATTTTTACTTCTCCTAACCCTTAAAAAAATACATCTCTAGAGTTAGCCTAGGATGCAAGAAGAGGAATTCCACTTTTAAGAGAGCGCTTGCTGGAGTTTGTGGGGCCAGATACCATCTGAGATGAGGAACGCACAGCACTGAAAAGTCAGGTCAGGTCCAGCAGCCTCCTCACTGCTTATTACTCTCCCAGACAGAGTTCAGGCTCTCCGCCTACACTTAATTCCATTCATTACTCCAAAACACTTCTCCGCCCCAAGCCTCAGCTAAAATCTGTACGTGGGGAGAACTTAAGTCACTAGCTTTCAGTGATGGAAAACGCACTCATGCCACAACCTCCCCAACACGTACTGGCCCAGCCAGACATCCTGAGCTCAACGCACAAACCCTAAGACTAAATATAATTTCCAAGGCTCCAAAAAAGGTGAATCCAAGGTCAAAAAAGCAGCTTCCACCTCATATAGCTGGTCACTCTCCTAGTTGAGATGGCAGGCCTTGATCCTCCTGCTGCTGAAAGAGGAATTTCAGAAGACATGGTCATGCATTGGCTTCGCCCAGGGTACCAGTTCACTACTTACAGTTACTCCTGGTAGCAAGGCACCCCGTTCCTTCATGCATGTCAACAGTTCCTATTTGGATGGGACAATGTGTGTGTTGGGAGGGTAGTTTGCTAGGGTTCTGGCTTCTCACCCCCATCCCATCCCACCCCACCCCCACAACACACACACTGTTAGTGGATATTATTTTTTCAGCCTGCTTTCTCCACAAAGCAATTACGGACACTAATTTAAACATGTCTTAGAAACGACCACCTTTTATCCCCCCAACATTTCTTCTTCTTCAAACCAGAGGCAAGAGAGGGAACTGAACATAGGGAGAGCGTGACACAGGGGATGCAGAACTTGGACTGATACACATCTCCCCTTTGCCGAGACCAGGGCAGTAGAGACTGAACTGTGGCAATTTTCAAATGTTGGTCAGAGACATTTAATCCCCAATAGCAAGAGAGGAGTTAAATCCAGCCTACTGATGGAATCAAGTGCTGAGATATAATTTGATTTGCTTCTTCAACAGCACTCCCCAGAACAACTCCTAAAATACATCAACAAAGGTGATGAGCATCACAGCAATGCTCTAGAGCAGTTCTCAAAATCTACAAAGTTAAAAAGGGTATCACCGCATAATCACTTGATAAAACCGATCCTATTTCTCTCCTACAAGGACTCTTCTGTTTCAGTCTTTCTGCACATGCAAGTCTTTACAAACTGCTCCACAATTATCTGAGACAGTCAACAGATGTCATACACCTACAGTGAGTGGCTGACTTAACCAAGTACCTCTCACTTCAGCAACTGGATTGAACATCAAAAAATTCAGGAGCCTAACCTACCTCACAAAGCCTGATGCTACGTAACATGCAGCAGAGAGACCACGATCCCCCAGCCAATGAACAACTTGACCTTCCTTAGGACAGAATCCAGCAAAACATTAAACCACATGCTTAAAATTCAGCACGTGCCTAAGTGCTTTGTGGAATGAAGACCCTGGCATCCAAATTTTAAGAAACTCCACCTAACAGCAATACTTAAAGACCATGGGAGGCTGACTCACGGGGGAAGAACTACCCTGGTTTCACCAGGGCCCACAGAGCACAACACTGGAAAGCATCTGGTGCTTACTGGGAAGTCATAGCAACGTGCCACAGCTGCTCTTCAACTCTGAAATACAGTCCAGCATCCTAGAAGGATGGCAGGAAACACAGGGTGAAGGAACATATGTGAAAAATCAGCAAAATTCAGCCAAGACGTCCTTAAAGCCCCCACACGCATCAGAGTCCACCATGTTACCAGCTGTGCCGAGGGATCACACTGTAACAGCTTAAAAGTTGCATGTTTCAGAAGATACGAGACTGTCTTTGTTATTAGCTAATTAATCCAAAAAGCACTCTGTCAAGAGCCCAAATCATACGACACAATATGTGACCTGAAGCTAAAGCATGCTTCCAGTTGCATGCACTCCTGATGCAAGTCTCCTTTAAAGACTTTGTTACAATAAGAAAGAGAAGCCAAACATTTCTTATAGCCTGAGAGAGAGTTTCAGGATAAAAGCCATCTCAACCAACCCGCTACAAGGATTTTTCATTTCCCCCTTCCTACCTCACCCCACCCTGCAGAAAAAAGTTAAAGTATTTTGCTCAAATTATGGATTTCCTCTCTTTCTTGGCAGAGTTACCAAAAGAAATATAATATTCCTTCTGGAGCACACTTCCCAGCTGTGGAAGTGAGAGACTGGGACCGTCCCCCCCACCCCAGCACCGCTGACCCAGGTGACCTCAGCCACCATGGCAGTTACTGGCGTGGGCCCCAAAAGAAAGCAAAGAAAGAAAGAAACATTCAGCCAGAGAAAAAGCACATCTCCTAAAGCTTCACCTCCAGCAGTCTGTCCCCTCCCCAGCCAAACTCCCTTGCCATCGTGAACAGTATTTCTGCGAGAGCAAGATCTTTCTGTGTTTCACTGCATCCCGGGGAGGTTCCTACTGGCCATCTACAATTTCAGCATGTGCCAAAACAACGGTGCCTGCAACAACACATACCACGTTACAGAAGATAACACCAACATGTCATACTGTATATTTTCCCAGCTGCATGGAGCATCCTAACCCACAGAAGTCCTTCACGTTTTGCTACGCTTCAAGTGCTGAAGAGCTCATCTGGAAATGCGTGTCTGCAGAGACCTGCTGAGACTGAACCTCTTCTGTGGACAGAATCTGCTGTCTGCACCAGAGCTGTCACCAGCCTGCCTCAAGCCTGACTCAGAAGGGTCACTCAGAGGAACAAATAGGTCACAGTGGCTAAGCCCCACTTTCAACCTTGGCCCTGTGGCAGAGATGCCTAATACAGGCACCAACTGCACTTATTTGTGTAATCAGGACACACCTGTTGAGTGGCAGGGTCTTGGTGCAGTTGCAAGGCACGGGCCACCAACAGACAGCTGAGAGAGAAGAAGTTATTTATGTCAGGAGCTCCTGTTGCTGTCCTCAACAAGTCGGCCTGCTTTCAAAATGGCTCTTCCAGTCTAAGAATTCCACCTGAATTCCTTTAGCACATGACCCTTATTTAGCTTACCGCCAGGTTCACAGTCTGTCTTCTGCGTGCCCCCTCACCCTCCCATTTGACATGGATTCAAATAACTGTGAGACAGAGAAGGGCTCCGCAGACTTCTCTTGCTGTTCCTTGTCTCCTCCGGAGCATCTATGCTATCTCAGATAGACATTACCACACTCTAAGCCAGATCAGTCTGCTCCCTCCTTCACAGGAGGATCTTGCCATGGGAACATGGCTGGAAACTCCAGGCAGGACTTTGCCTCTCTCAAGGAGATATACAGACTCTTTGGAGCCAAAACCTGAGCTGCTTCAGAAAAATGAATAGCCCTGGGAAGATCTGAGCAAACCTGCAGCTGCTCAGCAGTAGTTATGTACATTCTGATTTGAAAGTGTAGACTGTCAGGGATAGAATGAAATAATACACAGCTACTCCACTTATGCAAGTTATAGGAATAATAGCAACAGGCACGGCATACATTCGTCAAGCCCTGAACTAGATAAAATTCTTCTTACGCTTTGAACTCATGAAGATTTTAAGGGGAGGGCAGGCAGACCAGAAAGAGCTCTTA